ACTATTAGCAGCTTTTATTATGCTTGCTCCAGTATGTTCAACATTCAGCCAACCTTCACTCGGGATCATTTTTATGAATGCACAGACCAAAGGAATAAAACAAACACAAACCTGGTCTAGAATGCATAGACTAAAAAAATGACATCCCATATTTTCCCATTTCGTCTCCTGAGACGTATGATAAGATGGCAAAATAGTTGCTTGGTTGCTGATGTGAAATTCACAGTGTTTTGCCTGCAACACATATACATACATATATATATATATATATATATATATATATATATATTTTGCTTTGCTTTGTTTTGTGATAAATGGAGCAAAATAAATAGATAAATAAATAAATAAATAAATAAGAAAAGAATAGAAAGGGGAAATATCAGAACCTAAAGATATTGAATAACCTTTGACTCAAGAAGCAGTGATTCATTCCAGCCTAACCAACAAGAAAATAATCTTCATGTACTGTCATATTTAACTACAAACACCGCCCACCTCTAATTCTTTAGAATAACATTTACTATCACAACCTGGGAGTTTCTGCATTCCACAATGATGCATTGTAAAGAGATTGCTTTAACTGCTCATTTAGCCATCTGAGGAGTTACATCACCAGCCATCCTTCTTGTGAAATTTTCTGAAACAGTGATGGAGGGCCAAACCAAAGCTCAAACATTGGAGATAAAAGTCCTCCATTGAAAGGGGAGAGAGAGAGAGAGAGAGAGAGAGAGAGAGAGAGAGAGAGAGAGAGAGAGAGAGAAAGAGAACCGAGAGAGAGAGAGAGAGAGAGAGAGAGAGAGAGAGAGAGAAAGAGAGAGAGAAAGAGAACCGAGGGCAGTCATTTATCTAATTAAACACATAATTTAATGCTGTTGGCATTAGAGAAGGTCCATTTTGCAAAAGAAAAGGGTAATAAAAAATGTCTACTCCTGGCCGGGGGCTCCTCTGATCGTGGTTTCTTTGCCAAGAACAGACTTGTGCCTTGTTGCTGCTTGCACTCCCACCTGGATGTGGGAATTCCTCAGAGTTGCTCACCTCACTGTGGGGTCTTGAACTTCTCACCATCGGCCTTTGAAGCAGTGGGCTCCCAACATTCCCACTCTCTTCTGGAATGTTTGAACTCTGAACACAAGAAATAAAGGGATCATACTGGAACAATATGAGCTAACACAAAGGAGCAAAAAAGATGTGGGGGGGAAATCCATTTTCCTTTCTTGGACCTTTATAAAAGGAGATCTAGCCCAGTTCGAATTTTCCTTTGCACGGAGCCAGAGAAAGGACTCAGTGTCATGGGATGGCTTTGAGTCAGTTGTTTTGGGAAGCACATTGTCTTAACCAGGCTTTCCACCCGTGAAGTACTGCACAGAGTTGAGAAGTGCGGTGTAGTCCTATCCACATGGAGAATGGAAGCACTAACAACAACACGACGTTAAAGAGTTTTGGTTATTTAGCAGATTTTAAGCAAATTATTCATACTGCACCCTACTTATAATTATCTCTATTACTGTGTGCCTATACATTTATACATAAGCACACAAACACACTATGTTTGCGTGCTTGTCTATGTATAAATCAAGTATTTATAACACACATATAAATACATAAACATATCACAGGTAGCGCTGATGTAAACACATATGCAATAATATGAATTCTGATATAATCCTTTATAGCATAGTTCAAATATTTTCTAAATAAGCCTGATTATGACATTGGTTCAGTGTACAAGGATTTAGCTGAAGCTATGAGCATGATTATATACCACGTTATCTCAGCTGCTTGTCATCTCATGTGTTTCATTTTGTTCTTCTAACTTCATATCCTGCTTCATGAATTTGTTAGTGTTCTTTCTTTCCTGGATTGGGGTCTCTGGTGGACTGAATCATGAACTTCAGACTCAGAACATTTAGACTCAGTCCCAGTGGTGTGAGAAGCTAGCCTGCATATTTCTAGCATGCCTTTTAACTTCCCCAAGTCTTAATTTCCTCACCTATAAAAAAACTGGGACTCGTTTGCTAACATATGTGAAAATCGTTTAGAAAACTAGGAAATGATTTATTAACGGGAATGACCGTCAGAGTTTGGGCTAGAGAATTAGATCTGTCACTACTCTTGTTGTGGCTTTTAATGAATTTGATGGCAGGCCACATTTTAGAGTGAGATTGCTCCTTTTCTAAAAATGAGAAGGGGATTGTGGAGGACCAGTGTGGAACACCTGAAGATAGTCTGTGGTTCATTCAGCTACTTTTAAAGCAAGTTGGTATTCTTTCAATGCAAGACGTCGCTAAAATCAGTACATACTCTTGAGACAACAGAGGGAAAAACAATAAGCATATAAACGACTACAGAGCTTTGCACTTGCATAGAACCTTTCATTTCAAGACCTTGAGGGACTTGTCAAAAGGTAAGGAGAGGTGTGTGTTTGTTTTTGCTTTTTTTTTTTTTTTTTGCTTTTATTCTTCAGAGGAAAACAACACTGGAATGGAATGGGATGCTCCCATCTTCTTATGTGTCTTAAACAAATCCTTGCTCTACAACTGCACAGCCTTCCTTGAATTTGATCCTTCAGAGTATTGCCTCTTTGCTCTCCATTAAAATAAGACAAATAAGTTGCAGCTTCTCCTCCCAGAGCAGCTGGCCAGTCCCGCAGAATGGCAAACTTATGAAGGTTTCCAGGTCTTCGCTGATGGAATCTAGAAAAGTTTTGTACAAATCTGCCCCTTTTTACTGCTTCATGGAGTGCCACAGTGTTTGAACAGTACCATGGGTCCTTAATAGGATATATACGTGCAGGTATATATCATGGAGATATGGCTTTCATTATATAATTATGTGTATTCGGTGGGTTTTTTTCACTGACAAAGAGAAAAACAACTCAACTCCACGGTCTATAGGCCAGTGCAGAGCTCGAAGAGACTGTAAGGTTTGTCTTGTACGACCCCCTCCACTTGACTGCAGATGCTAATGGATTTCCTTTTGTTCTCTGTGAATTGACTTTTTTTTTTTTTTTTTTTTTTTTTTGAGAACTGGCTTTTTCAAACCCTATAATGAAAAATAAGGGTATTCCAGTAATTAAGGGTACAAGCAAAACCGAAACAGAGCAATTGCACCTTCAGAAACAAATAGGAAATAAAATGACTTAAGATGAATTAAAATCACTCCCTTTCAATCTGGCTCGTGTTATAAAGATGTCAGGTTAGCAAAATTACCCTCACAGAGGGTATCAAGTTTTCTTGAGGAACAGAAATATTGTTCTTCCTTGGTGTAACTGATCACCCAAATACCTGTAAATTTCTGTTTAAATTTACAATTCATTTCACAAAATCTGTAATGGTGCCCAGAAGCACACCTCCAAAACTTGGTCTAGGCATAACCTCCTGTTGGCATGCTGTGCCTAATTTTTTATTTTACTTCTTTAAATGGAGTGAAGGAAACAAAAGAGCATACTGACAGTGGAATACACTTGGAATGAAACCGCTCTCCCAACCGGAGCCCCAGCGAGGATCGGCCTTGCATACACTGAACACCAATGTGCATAAAGTCCCCAGAGATGAGATTTCCTTTCTCTCGGGGACTGACTTAGCCCTTCCACAGTCCCACAGTCTCACAGTGGGTTTGACGTGCATGAGGACATCTGGGTTTCAGGGTCCGTATTTGTTGAAACCCATCACCACCCTACGTCCCAGAGGGTGGTACCCAGCGCATGAGCTCCATTAGCTTCCCCACATCATGTAAGTCACACCTTTTATACATCTGCTCTACATGGCAGGGGCACAGCGTCTGGAGCAGTAGTTTCTGCATACAAGGTATTAATCGACGAAGACCATGCACAATTTTGCTTGCACAGTTAAAAGGACAGGTGGGTGGCGGGTAGGGGTTGGAGGGAAGTGTTGTCTGAAAAGTCTGATATAAGAGAAGCTTGCCTCCGAATGTAGAGCTTGTCCTATCTTTTCCAAGACCTTGGCTTTCCTACCCCACCCTGAAATGACCTCTGGACAAGGATCCACCAGTTTTCAACAGAACTTGACAAGGGTCATTGGGTAACATTTGGAGAAACAAGCCCGTGCTCTTACTGTGACCTACAAACAAGGATGTCTGAGCATGTGAGGCACCATCTCCCGCATCACGGAGCCATCTTTTCTCTCTGCTACACTCTAGAGTTTCTGCTGATGGAAAATGGGTAATCCATGTTCAGAGCTCAACAGTCTTTTTACTCCTCAGAAAGGTCCTCAAAGGGAGGTGACAAATACATTCCTCCCAGCTAAAAGCTGCTGGGTTTTTCCTAAGTAGGGACTGATCCCAATGGTTGTCTTTGTTCCTCCCATATTGCGGTTTATAATACATCTTCTCTCTCTCTCTGGTTTCAGTCTCCCATACGTAAAGGGCTTTCCAGGTTGAACACAAGTTTTCCTTTTCAACACACGGGCTTAAGCCATCCAAAAACAATAAGAAATGTAATCATAATAAATAAATAGAAGTGAATCCATAGAAACTCTCAATGTCTGTACAGCAGAAGTGACAAAGTTTAAGTCAAAATTTGTTTTCCCTTTTTTTCATCCACATCAAAGGCAGGAATACAACAAGGCATTGTTAGTTGTGGTGGGCAAACTTGGAGTGTCTGCTGATATAACAAATTAGGTTTGTTAAGGCCTTTGTCTATGCAGAGTTAAGAGTAATGCAGAAGCCAGATCGATTAGAAAAGAAAGGTAGTAGTGTGAAGCAGGGAAGACAAAAAAAGTCAAAACAAAACAAAAACTAGGGAACAAACCAAGGGAGATGGAAAGAGAGAAAGAGATAATGCCAAAAAGAAGTCCATACTGTGTCTACCGATGGAGAAGTACACATTGCTTCCCTCTGAAAGCTTCGTAGTGTCTTTGTTGTTAATACTGTCAGAGTAGAGAACAGCAGATTGATGGCATCCAGCAGCAGTGAAAAGACGTTCATCCTCTCAGCCCATCTGAGGAGGTGCTTTGGGAAAGATTGGTCTGGGGGAAAGAGCCCTAGCCTAGAATATCCAGATAGACCGGAGATGCCTTGGCCAAGTTCTGAAGAAGGGTATGGATGCCCTTGATGTTCTTCCTCATGTGGGGTTCTCGCTGCCAGCACCCCAGCATCAGCTCATAGACCTCCTGTGGGCATGTTCGAGGTCGCTGCAAGACTCGGCCCTGAGTGATGCATTCTATCACCTGGGCAGAGAGCAAAGGTAGGATCAGAAGAGAAACAACACCAGAGAAACAATACAAGTGAAATACATGTCAGTGCAAAGAGAGGGCTGCTTTAATGAAACCCATTCAACATTACTTCTTTTCAGAAAGAAGAGAGCAATTATTACAGGTCGGTATATTGTGTTTAATTGGAGCACATCCATTTTTCAAGCACAACGATTTCACCAAACTGGTGGAGAAATGACTTATCTATCTGGAATGATCCCAAACCTCATCTTAGAATTCCAATTTTGCTGACCTGATATGGAACCTAGGTCACTTTCATGTCAAGGTGCTGACTGCTGAGGGATCCCTAGACTGTATTTTGGTCATTTTGGATAATGAATCTGGGTAAAAGACAGACATGAGCCTGATGAAGATGTGAGGTGCCTAACCAAAATGCTATGTCTCAAATATAGGCATATTTGCAAAAGAATTGGAATAGGGAAACAAAATGCTTGAGTTTTCATTAGAAGTGCATGGTCTAGTGAAATGTGCAAAAAGAAAAGAACCATGAAATCTTCCTGGAATAATACACAAAAGCTAGCTGGACTCTCAGGGTGCTGGAATGTCACATCTGCTATTAATTTGCTAGGTGAAAACAGCACATAGCAATTCTTCAGTTCCATCACAGAGGATGCCGAGTTATGTCAGTAAACACTGTGATTTTCTTACATTTCCAGAGTGACTATATTTTGGCCGTGACCTTTAGGTACACAGCAGGCCATTTGGAAGGTGCTGCACCCAACAAAGCCACATAAGATCTTGTCCTGTGTCCTAACTTCTGGCAAAGGGGCACCTCTCAGTGTCAGCCCTTCCAGAGGGTCTCACCCAGCCCACTGCGCACCTCATTGTTGGACAGCTGGTACCAGGGCTGTTTGCCATATGTGAAGATCTCCCACAACACGACCCCCAGGCTCCAGACATCACTTTCTGTGGTGAACTTCCTGTACATGATGCTCTCTGGAGGCATCCAGCGAATGGGCAGCATCGTGTGGCCACCAACCTGGGGGGAAAGAGGTGAACAAGGAGGCATGAGTCACCTCCACACAACATTCGCACTATAACATAAGGAAAATAAGACTTCTTTATAATCTCAATCATCAGAGTCAGAGGGGAAAGCATGGTCAACAATTTTTTTCATATTATTTGCAATTCTCTCTCAAAACTAGATAGGGCCTTTGGGTGGATGTTCATTTGAATAAACACACACACACACACACACACACACACACACACACACACACACACTCATTTTCTGGTTTGAGTATGACTCAACCTTCTAATCAACAAGATAACTTTGATGAGGATAACAAGTATGGAGTTCTTCATACAAAAATGACCACCAAGTAACTCTATTTCCTTAGCAGGGCCAAAACTACATTCCAATTGCAGATACTAGGGTAAGTGAACACTGCTTTCTTAAATAAGTTCCTCACAACCCAGCAATGAACAAGGCAGAAATTATTCCCATTTTATAGATGAGGCAACTGAGATTCAGGTTGCTATGGACACAAAGAAGTCAGGTATTTGGACTTCAAGCTCAATAATTTTTTATGATAAGGCACTGCAACTGAGCTTGTTTACAAAAATAAATAAGTAACTATGGTTTTGAAAAGCTCATTTTAGTAAAAACATGAAGGGTGAGGCATTAGATGTAAAAAGTATTAGCACAGGCAAAGAGAACATTGTCTGACAAAGGAGACTCATTCATGATTTCCTACTTCCTGGAGAAAAGTGAAGTATTCCATTTTCAGATTTGTAGCCCATTAGGGCTGTCCCATTTTAAAACCATGATCAGATTTCTAGACAGTAGTCCTATGGGTGGTAGGTCCTACTTTTCATACTGGTAAACTCCAGCACAACCAGCCCAAATGCTATGCCTGACACTGAGGGCAGCAAGCAAGCTCACAGACAACTGAATCAGACTTCACTGACAACTCTCAGCCCCTGAGTTCTGAGACTAATGCCACATAGAGTTTCTGCCCAATTATCATTTTCAATATCCATTTCTGACTCATTAAAGGAAAGAAATGGACTCACAGTGCCTGAAAAATGCTGCTCAACTTCAGAGCCCAAGGAGCTGAGAGGGTCAGAGATGTCTAATAAGCTTGGTGATTTCAAATAATGCTCTTGGCATCAAAGAAAGCACACAGGTGAAAGTAGGAAGGCATTGTTTTCTGTACAATGACTCCAAATCCAACAAGTAGGAATATAGCTTGCTGATTCTCGGTTAGGGTGTTTCCAAATCCTTACTGTTCAGCTTTGACTACACCAGAAACTCCTATACCAAGTAAAGACTGGTTGCCCATCTTCCGCTTTTGATTTTATCACTTGCTTCTCATCCCTGCAGTGGTAGGTAGTCACTGTTCAATGAGCACAGATTTTCCTCATGAAACTGCCTGGACATCTGCTACTCACCATCAGGGTTGATACTCAAAACACAACCTGTTTGACACAGGAACTGACTGGTCAAAAAGGATGCTAGTGGTTAACTAGTTTGAAGGTGTGTTCACAGGGAAGAAGTAAAGAGATAAAGAACCATTTACATGCATCTCCTAGAACCAGAAAGATGAAAAACACACTCTGGGGTCCATTAATCTAGCAAAATACCAGACTTTCTATATTCCTTGTGGATCCCCAGATGCAATGCATGGACAACACTGAATTCATGACATCAGAAACCCTAGGGTCCAGGGCACACTCCAGTGTGCCATTTCCTAATTAGGTAACCTTGACTAGCTGCCCTGATTTCTCCTCTCTGTGCCCTGATTTCTCCAAATATAAAATGTGGGTAACAATGAGTAAGTTCTAAGGTTATCGTGAGGTTAATACCAAAGCAGACAATATAAATTTCAGTGCACTTAAATACGTTTAGGGTGTTTTTTCCTTTTCTGTAATTTTACTGTCTGATTTCCTTAAAATGGGAAGCAGCCATTCTGGAGACATTAAGGAGAGGCAGCACATACACCTTACACTTTCCCATATTCCTCACCAATGACAAGTGTTTTGGGGCTCTTGGGACTCCTGCACCTACGCTATCAGGTTTTCAGTCCTATAGCATTAATGGCCAAATAAAAAGCTCTTATTTCCTTTAAAGGAGAAAAAACAAGGTTATAAATTTCGATTTACATGTTTTCCCATCTGATCATTTATTTTATGTTTGGACAGATTTTTTCACTTTAATTCTTACAAGAATACCTTCTGGGATTTCACACATGCTGTTATAAATAACGCTTTCCTTGTACTCGATGTCAAACGGGTGAGTGTGGGAGAATCTAATAAAAGTTCAGATAGGGTTCACAAGTTTTCTAAACCCATTTAGACACTTCTGAACATTTATTTTGCAGCCTTTTCTCAGAATTTTGGAGCATGTCTCTCTCTCTCTCTCTCTCTCTCTCTCTCTCTCTCTCTCTCTCTCTCTCTCTCTCTTTCACACACACACACACACACACACACACACACACACTGTGGTTACAAATTACCATCACAGGATGGTTTTTGGAATCTCACAAAACCACATACTGTGTGGCAACAAACAATGAGACATTTGTTTTGTATTGTGCTACTTGGCAACTTGCCTTCACACCCTTGCTTAAATATTTGTGACACAGAATACAATCTCAAGTATGACATTGGGAGTCAGAACTGTAACTGTTGCTTTGACTACTGGATATGCCTGAAGAAACTTTTCAGGGATCCATGTGGGTCAGGCCACATGCCTTTCCCTAAACTCACCAGATAGAATTGATCAAATGGGAAACCCAGTTAGCTGGAAGTTGACATGGTCTTGTAATTTTTATTTTCCTCTTCTCCAGAGACTGGGGTTCTAGTTCTATAATTATCCACCACCACTTCCCCACCATAATCAACCATCAATACTTATGATTTCACCTTTACAAATAATTTTACTCAGTTATCTTATTTGAACTCAATTAATTACCCTTTGGGGTGGACATTGGCTTGCCTTCATATTAAAAACCATGTCTCCAAAATTCAAAGAGTTAAGTAGGTTACCCAGAGCCAAACACATAATGCCTCCCCCCTGATGCCGCTCATTTTGATGGGTCACTCGTGTTTCCAGCTTCTGCAGTCTCCAACATCTGCCCTGTGTGTTTATCAGGCAAGCTTAGTTGTGGCTCTAGTTTAGCTAGTAAGCTGACATGACTCAAGTCTGTTGGAAATTTTGATATCCTTTCATTTCTAACTACTTCCTGGAGATCTTAAAGGTAAGCTCAGGTTCCAGCATTTCAAGAAACTCTGTCCCTGCTACAGCACTGTGCCTTTTCTAAGTACCAGGAAGCTCTGTCCCTTAGCAGAGCTCTGGTAACACTATAGGCCTGGCACTCCTTATTTTTGATAACAGATCACATGCCTCAAGCAAGGTGGATGCTAATCAGTTATGACTGACAAGGCATGGGGGTTTGGCTAGTATGCATATCATGTCTTCAATGGGTTTCTTGTGAGTGCTAGTATTTTGGAAGGAAATATCGAAGTGTACTTTCAAAAAGATCAACATTTTCTACTTTCCCATTCATCCTCCAACAACTTCCCTAAATTCTTGATAGAACCAAGTCTTAGATTAAATGGATTGACACTTCAAATAAGAACCATTCAATAAAATTTGCAACTTCTTAATAAAATGCAACAAAAAATATGGGGGTTTACATGGAGTATAAAAGCTAACGTGTATGAGAATTCCACTGATCAGTTTGCCATCTGTAGACTAGTTGGGGATAGGAATGGGGGATGGGGGTGGTCTATGGTGCAGACCTGAACTATTCATACTAGGATTAAGTATAAAAGGATGTCGTAATGCACAACATGAAGGGAGTATTGTTCTATAGATGATGACTAACATGTCATATCTTAGGAGGCTGGGGACCAAGGACAAAGGATTAGGAAGAAAGGCTGGAGCCTTTCTATAGACTTAAGGAAAAGAAAAGGGATCAATGACCAGCATGGCTGCTAATCATTGTAACATGGTGAAACCAGCAAAGCTAACCAGAACAATGTCTGAGGCCCATGGCCAAAAAGAAATCCTATCATGACTAAAATAAATTAAATTACAGAAAATGAGTTCTGTTTTTAAACATATCAAGAAAAGAACTGTTCATTTAGCTTTTCATGTTATTCTTACAACACCTCATAATTTTGATGGTGATATGTATTGGTCAAACACAAAAATAACAACTGTGTTCTAGTTAAAAATACCTGGGCTTTGGCATCTTTTTAATCTACCAGATTGAAAGGAATTTAACATAGTAATTTCTGGAGAGAATATAAAAAACCCCACGGTAAAACTGTCCTGTGTTAGGAATCAATTATTTTATTATTTTTAAGTAAAATTAGACACATCTAATCACTTCAACTGCAATATTTATTTCTTACCCAAGAAACACTCTTTGGGTGGATACTTTTTGGTCATTAGGTTATAAGTTGTGAAAATTTCCCTGTCACTTAACAAACAATATGATTTATTTTTTCTACATTGGAAAACTAGAGTTTAGTGAAATCAAAGAACTTGCTAAGGAAGTATAGATATAAATTGATGACTAGCAGTACTGAGGACAGTTCTCAATCCCACCACTATTTATGCTGAGAACCTAGGCTCTTTCTCATTTTTAAAAAATATAATTTTTATTGACTTCAGAGAGGAAGGGAGAGGGAGTTAGAGATAGAAACATTAATGAGAGAGACATATTGATTGGCTGCTTCTTGCATGTCCCCTACTGGGGATTGAGCCTGCAACCCTCTTGGTACATGGGACGGTGCTCAATCCATTGAGCCATGCCAACCAGGCTCTTTTCATTTTCTTTATTTTATTTTTTGCAAATATACAAAGCATCATTTTTTTTCTGGTACAAGTTAACAAAGAAGGCACAATTCATTTTCCAGGTGTACTGGGAGATGACAGAGGAGGTGATAAGCTTAGCTCTCCTCTTTCTGTTGGGCTTCACAAAAATTACATCTACCATCCCTTATCATTTTCTCTTTTTCTACTGC